TGAAATCGTGAATGACCTACAACACACATAAAAAAATAGGGAGAGAATATTGGTGAGCCAAAATTTCACCAAATATATAAATGAATTGCATAGACATATACCTTAAAAGTTTCACCAAATATATAAATGAATTGCATAGACATATACCTTGAAAGTACCGTTACAGATCTTCATATCCCGAACTCCCGAGATACTGGTGAAAAAATTTCGGACCATATACTGCATTCTTAAGTCAACTTCATCAGCACTATCCTTGAGATAAAACCCGCCAAGAATATTGACCTTGGTTAAGGAACTGGAGTTGACTATGATTTTACTCGCACTTCGATCATCTTCGAAATTCAAATACTTGAGTCTGGGGGCATCGATCAAAACCCCTGAGTCTTCCATATGAGAATATCCCATCTCTACAGCATACAAATCAAACTCTATATTGAGAGTGGTTAGTGTCTGAGAATGGACTCGTAAAACCTTTACATTATCATCAGCCCTACTAACAATGCTCAAATCTTCAAGAACTGGGCAAGACGAGATAAAATTCTCCATATACATTGAGTTCTAAACTCATAGTCTTGAGACAAGGTAAGGAAAAAGACTCATAAGTACCCAGAGAAACCCGATGGAGTCTTAAGTAAAGGAGTGTCTTACAGATATAAAGGCTTAAGGGCATCACTTCCACATACTCAGGCAGATCCATAGGAAGACACTCAACATCAAGATGCATAAGTTTACTTGTAGCCACAAAGTCTATCCAACGCGTGAGACAAGACTCATCATTCTCATCTCTCCTAATACTTAGCTTGAGCTTGTGCAAGCACGAGTTCTGTTCCCTAGAGAAATCTAGGAGCCTATTCATAAAACCCACAAAGGAATTGTAATCTGGGAACTCGTTGGAGGCCAAATCCAACTCGGGAATTAAAAGCCATACACTTTTCCACCTATCGGACAAAACACTTGTCCTGACAACATCCTTTGTCGGAAGATAAAAGAGGATCTCTGATATCAAAGAGTCAGGTAATTTGCTTATCATATCCTCCCTCGCAGGTCGTTCGTCGCATTTTGGTTTCTCTTTCGAAAAGCTTTCCTCCATCAAATCCATTCGCAAAATTGAACCAACGATCCCGTACCTTGAATATTTAAGTATAAAGACGCATTTAGCAGGAAATTCAGAAACAATTCAAGACCGAAAACCATTACTGTAAAATCCAGAAAATGTTTTAATCAAAAATCAGAAAGTAGCGGAAATTACCTGATGGGTTTAGGGTTTTAGAAGATCTGACTTGATGAAATCGCAGCAAAATTCTACAGGAAATGAGAGAGGGTAACACTCGGCTCTAGACACGATTTTTTTTTTGAGAAAGGCTTTATTTTTCAGTGGTCTTGGTCAAAAGTTGCCCTGATTTTGACTATGTAGACAGCTTTTCGCAAGCACTTACTTGTCGTTTTCTTCTTCTGCAGGTACAATGGAGGAAGAAGAAGAGAACGGGAAAGTGATGACGAGGAAAGCCTCTTCTTCATCTGGAGTCTTAAAACGACTGCTCAATCATGTGTTTGGTTCAAGTGACGAACCAACGACGGTTTATTGTAGCTGGTTCGATTATGTGATTAAACTTTCTTGGTTTGCTCTCTTGTTGCACCAATTAAAACCAGAAATATCAGCAAAAGCTAGTCCAAGCTGTGTGGCAATGGAACCAACCAGTCCCCGAGAAGGCGATTGATGGATGCGAGGAAAGTGATATTCTTTGCACCTGTTCACGGTTAATGATGGATGCTACGAGACTGATGAGTGTGAAGACAAACAGAAGCAGGAAGTGAATGCAGGTAAGAGTTAGGCATAAACTCAACATTCTATCTCACAATTCTTTTTCAGAATTCAACAGAAACAAAATCCAACTTAGAGGTAGTCTCAGTCTAAAAATCTTTAATGCAGAACGATCCGCTACGTCAGTCTTTCAACGGTTCACAAACTTCGATTTGACACTTGCTAGATCGCGTTGGTAATGCAAGGAGAGCCCTTTAGACGTCGGAATATTTTTCCTTCATGGAACCTCTCAAACGCAGAACAAGTTTCTTTAGGATTACTGAGTTTTCTGCAAAGTACCTTGCTACTAACATTTCAGTAGAGCATCCACGGAATATGCCTTTAATCTCTATAAACTCGAGCGATGATAGCAGACACCGAGGCACAAACAAGCTTATTTTTTCCCTCACAATGGAAAGAAGTAACTCCTGTAAAACACAAGACGAGTGAAATAAGATGACAGTAAACACATTTCTCAAGTGTATGAGTTAAATCTCTAGGGATGGTGCAAGTCATCACCAAGCGCAGGGATTTTAAATTCGGACAGCTTTCAAGAAACATTGGCAGCTTTTCCACGAAGCAGCGATAAAGCTCTACTTCCAAACAGGACAGGTTGCAAAACTGAGGTAATGGCGTCATATCATTGATCAACTACTCACAAGATATAAGAATATTTGGTGAGCAAATGTATTTATGAAAGAGCATATATATAAATATGAGGTGCATAGACATATACCAGAAAACTAGAGGAAGAGATCTTCATATCCTTAACTCCCGAGATCGTTGTGAAAAAATTAAGTCAACTTCATCAACACTATCCTTCAGATCAAAGTAGCCAACAGTATCGACCTTTGCTAAGGAACCCGAATTGCTTATGATTTTACTCCCTGATGTATCATCTATGAAATTCAAATACTTGAGCCTAGGTGCATCAATAAAAAAACCAGAG